AGGAAAATGAAATGACGAGTCTGAAATTAACATGCGAATAACCTAATAAATAACAAAAGTAAGAGATAAAGAGGAGTAAGAGTATAGGCAGAGAGCGACTAGTGACATGTTTGATGTGTTCAAAAGATTCTTTACGATAAATTTGTATGATGAATAATAGTTAATGGTTATTGAATTTTTGGAGATTATTAAGAGTAGAACATATGCAAATGACTCCACTACCTTATATTTTTCCAACAACTCCAATTAGACACAGCTTGAATATTTCAGTACCACAGTTGATGCCCTTAGTGCTGGAGCGATTTAATAAATGAGTTGTGTGCGCTCTTTTTCTCCTTCTTCAGGCCTAAATTAACATTTTTCGTATTCCTCATAAATTTGTGTGGTATTTTATAGCACTGCTATCCTGGATTATTTCTTGTATTTTTCTCCATTACTAAATTAAACCCTTATACTTCGTTTCATACATTCTTTCGGTGTCGCTTATCCCTTTCCTTTTTTTTTTAGTTTGTGGAAGCAGATGGGATCTGTTTTGAATTTTGTTAACGTGTGAATGTGTATTAACAAGCATAATGAGAACTTTTATGTATTTGAGTTGCCGTTTTTCATCGACGTGGGTGGAAGTTTCCAAAATAGACAGCGTAGATGGCGAGCATGGTGGATCTAATGCCAGTCTCTTAATTCAACATTTCGTATTCTACCAAGAACAGCTGAGCCTTCTTTTTGCTTTATCCATTAGCCTTTATGAGTGTTGTTGGCGCACTAGACCAAATAATCATTTCCAGTGACAATTTCATTCATCCAGTTATTTTTTTGCGTTAGATTTCAGTGGTTCCTAAATAGTGGCCCGACTTCGGTTTTCAGAGTTGGGAAGTTGGTAAGGAGTCCATGTAAAGTATATGCGTTCGGTATGGCTTCATCAATGTGGATGCATGTCTCGAGCGTGGGTCAATGGGCAATGTTTGAAGATAGTTTCGACATATTCGAAGCGATTAAACCATTTTCATCGAAACACCGTGGAATAATAGGCGAGGGTCCATATGTTTTATATCCGTGTTGTATCCATATGGACCATCGTCCTCATGAATAGAGCACAGATATTCTCCATGGCAACTTTCGTGTTGTGTTCGAGTTTCGTCGTTCGAATTCATAGCGGATAGTTGAGTGTACTTTTTGTTTTAAACCATGATCGTTTTCCTGAAACTTTAATGAAGCGGCTAGTATGAAGAGGAGCTTTTGCGATTGACAATTCAGCTAAGTCTCATTGTTGACATTTTGGCAAGCCGTTTCAAGGTCAAGCATGTGGTTGCTTAGATTTCTCGTGTTATAGAGTGTGAAGGCTGTGTATAGACAGATAAGATTCCACGACCATGGGTATAACACTGCAGTCGGAATATCAAACATGATTTGAATTTTTAGTCTTATTTTTTTTACCGCATTTTAGGGCAATATCAGTATGTTGTTTCGTATGTCACCTTCTTAGACTACAAGAGAAATCAGTTTAGAACATTTCGTGGGTTGTTATGATCGTTATGCATTAGCACGCAGTGATTTTAGTGCTGTTCGCATTGTTCAGAGAAGTAATTTGTTTATTTTGTCATTATTCCACTTAACGGCTACTTCTTCTTGGTGTTTATTGAAGGTATAATATTGAAGTAATAGAACAGAGTGTAAGCAGTGGGTGCAGGTTCCTTTCAATAGAGATGTGGTCGATGGTTCGATCTCGCTCATCAAGCTTATCCGGCCTTCCAATCCCTTGGAATCAACAAACTGGTACCAGGGTTCTTTGGGAGAGTAGCAGTACTGATATAATACATCTGTAGACTACTGAAAGTAATTTTGTGGACCAGATGTGCATTGAATCACCGTTAACGATGATTGTTTGAGTTTGAATGCGTGACGTATTCATGAAAGATTGTTTGACACAGAACGCTTCATCGTTTATTTTCTATAATGGTATCGGTCAACCAGGCGTAGTAGCACGTAAAAGTGAGTTCATCTACTTGATGATGAGGTGCTGTTGTCGTATTCCGCAGCAAACCAATTTTTTTCAGTTCAATCCAAATAGAAGCGGAGAGCTTCGAAGCCAATTTCATTTCCACTTGATCAAGTTTACATTTGATGTTGTGCAGCGTGCAGCGTTAAAAGAAAATTATTCCAAAGAAATACCCTCATAGCCTTCAGTGACTGTCGTCATTGAATTTCTCATTATTGAAATGACAAAGTCGAAAATGAAGGAAGTGAATTCATCAGACAACGTCAGCATTCTTTTGAAAAGATATTTAAGTCACAGTAGGACGAATTTGTCAATAGAATGCAAAAATACGATCAAATTTTACATCCGAGGACAGTTTTTCCTTAATTTTTGCATCGATTTTAGCGGTGATGCTTATTAAGTCTTGAGTGTTAGAATTCATCGTTTCTTCGTGGTTGCATGCGTTTTCTGTGTTTCTTTTTCCAAAGTCTGAGAGATAATTGAAAGTTCTTAAGGTGTTAGGTGTCTCTGTTTTCACTTTAGCCTGGGTTTTCTTTTATCTATTTCTATTTACGAACTAAACTGTTTTCATCAAATCATGTTTGCTCGATGGGAATATTATTCTACTACATGTACTTTGCTTTGTTGCTATACTTCACTATATGGTTGTTTTCTCCTCTGCTTTGTTCTGTTGCAACGAAGTGTGGGTGGTTTCGGCCTCTTAAATAAAAGCCATGCACAAGTTTATCTTCGATTGTTATTACTATTACTACTGCTATTATCCAATGTCTTCCTTCGCAAGTTTTTCACACCAGAACTGATTGTCAACACCAATGAACAACTTTAACAACGCTCTTTCTGAAGACAAATCAAAAGAAAGTAAGATGCAGTTGAAAAAAAAGCAGTAGAGAACAGTTGTGTGAACAGACACATATGCTATTACAATAAATGAAATATACGTTTTATCTTCTAATGACGTTCCCTCCTTCTCTCTTTCGTTCCTTATCACTCTACGTTTAGAACAGGGTTCTATTAAAGCTGGCTGCTTAGCGAAACCTGACTGCGTGAAAAAAACCGCAAGTTACATTTTGAGGTTTTCTTTATCTTACGATTCTTTATAGAACATATTCATGGTGGAGGGTTCAATTACTGTATAGAGACCTCACTCATCCCTTGAAATCAATAGTTATAGTCATTGAGAAGAAGAAAAACTGAATTAAACTAAGTTTTTCAGTGGTAGTGAATTGTGTTCGAGAGCTTCTCTCAGAATTTTTCTTGCGTTTTCTTGTTTTCTTTAGGTTTTTAACCTGCGTTTGGATATACATATATATATATATATATATATGTACATATAAGTATATAAATATACATATACATGTATATAAGTATATGTATATATATGTGCAATACACAATACGTATGACCATATATATATACACACAATTGCAATATGTATAGGGGTCTTTGACTAGACCCCCTGCCTTAGATAAGCAAGTGCTCTATTCTTTCAGGATCAAAAATTTGTACGTAGCTTGACTTGTAGAATAGCAGTACTGATTCGATTAATCAATAGGCTACCGAAAGTCATTATATAAGCTATGTGCATTCATTCACCTCTACGATTTTGAATGGAGTGGAATGCATGACACATTCGTTAAGAGATTGATTAGTGCCGTATGCTTTGCACTTTGTGGTTAAATCCATTCAACTTAATGATTTGTTAAGCAATCCAGTATCGCGATGTGTTTGTTGAATAATATAATCGACGGTGAACGCTACGATAAGGAAAAAGGATGATACCATTTTCACTTTTGGTTTTCTTCCCATTTGTATGAATTTATTGAAGGTTTTTTTCAAGAAATTTTTCTAGTGCAGGAAAACGGTTTACTCTGAATTAGTAATCGGTAAAAAAGAGTGATGGGAGCGTCATTATGTCAGGAACTTTCTGTCGTCCTGGAACGCACTTTTTAGATTTTCCACAACGCTTATGATTTACTCGTAAATTGTTCTATTGCTTTCCATGTCCTCCTTCTTCTGAAAGAGTGTGTTTCTGAAAGTCGTTGACCTACCTTTAAGTGTTCATAGTTGTTCGTCTTTTAGTCATTTAAGAGACTTTTAATGCTCTAGTGCGATAGCTGGCTATCCTAAGCGTATTTCTTTGATCGCTGCCTTCTCTTTGTTCTAAGGTTATGTTTAAAAACTTTCGGTTTTGTGACCAGGTGTACATTTCCGCAATGTATTTATCATATTTAAGTGATGTCTATCTTCTGTACAAAAAGTTACGAACTTACCGATGTAGTATCTTCTTTCAATAACTATTAAAAAGATTTATGCAAGCTTGTCGTCCTTTAACGCAAAGACAAAAAAATTGAAATCAGAAGTTGCCATCAGCTATCAGCTTTATTCGTTTCGAAATCCTATAGTTTTCTGCTTTTTCGAAGACGAATTCTTCGCGAGTTCTAGTTAGTCTAGTTATGCGTGTCCCTTTTCAAAATAGTGGATATTCTTTTGGAAATAAATGCAGCGTCGAAAATTAATAATTTTCAAAAAGGAAGAGGGAAATGAACCAGGGAATTATAGTAAAACGTGATAACAGCGATACTTTGGGCGGAAATTATTTGAGAATGAGTTCAGTAGAAATATGTTTTAAAATGAAAAAACTTTCCACGAAGCTTCAATTTCGTAATTGTAATTTCGTTTATGAATCTAACCTTACACGTTTTTTCCCTGTTTTTTAAAGCATATGACTGCTTACAATTTCAGGACGTCTCGTCTCTGTGAAGTACGTACGAGATCGCCGTTACGCTGAACGCTATCCTGAGACCGCCCATCTCTGACCCGCCCACCTCTGACCTGCCCTCCCACTGTCGGATCGAGGAGAATTCCTTTGCGTCTTCTGTTTTAGTTGCCCTTACCCACACCCTTCGTATCTGTTGGATCGACGTGTGCTTTTGTCACGCCTCGCTACTCAGCTTTCTCTAAACTATTCACAATTATTTATTGAGCGTGTACTATAGTGGAAAACATGACATCTTTATCATCATCATCCTTATCTTCATCATCATCATCATCTTCATCGTCATCATCATCATCATCATCGTCGTCGTCGTCATCGTCGTCGTCATCGTCATCGTCGTCGACATCTTCGCCGATATCGTCAGTGTTCAACAACGCCGTCGTAACCTCAGGCGAAAATCTGTTGTGTTTTGCAATGAACACATCATGTGCCTGTCATTCTGAATACCAATTTTATGATTTTGACGAACGTATGCTACTGGGTTTAGTGGCGTTACCAATCATTGTGTTTGGTTTATGTGCTAATTTGACCTCAGTTCGGATATTCACGCATCGTCTAATGTCATCATCTTCGATCAACTGGTATCTGGCTGTACTATCGGCTTCCGATACTCTGATTTTGATTTCGGCATTTTTTGTGCTGTCACTACCACGTCTTGGCGAATACCTCGCTTGGTGGCGTGCCAATTATATCAGGTTTGTTTTTAAATTTTTGTTATGCATTTTTTTGTAGAGTTCTTATTTTGAATAATACTGGAAGGTTCGCAACCCTCATCTCAATATTCTCAACTACTCTGCTCTTATTTATCCCATGCATTTTTTACGAGAAATAATCGTTCATGGCATCGTAATTAAGTCCTGCAGTAGAACTGTTAACGGTTATTGGGTAGTTCCATCGTTTGTCTCACCTAGGTTTTATTTCAAACACTTTAAAATTTGCCATAGTGGCGATGTCTTGGATGAAAATAGCTTTTTTGTTTTGTTTTTTAGGTGTTTTAGAATAGCAACACATTTTCTCATGTTCTTACCTCGATAACTTTTCACAATACTTCACAGCAATGCCTGGAATTCTTGTCTCCGTCTTAATTTCTTCCACTCTTGTATTTACCATAGTTTTTCTTTAAGTCATCCTGTAATCCTTTCATCCTGTTTTTTTTTGTTCTTTCTTGTATTTGTTGAATAAAATCCGTTCTTCGTTCGCAATATTCCATCATTAATGGGTAATTTGGTCTTTTTGTAGCCCTTGGGGCTTTTGTTTTTTTTTCCTTATTTTTTATATGGGATACGTTTGTGTATGTGCTGAAAATGATCAGAATAAATTCAACGTAACCGTGGAAATTCCACTTGGATTGGTAGGAAATATATTAAGCGCTCATAAGCCATTGACTGGCTCTCAATCTGTTAAATCACTGTATCTCTCCTAGTACAGTAATTTGACATATTCAAACAGTTCGCGTTGTTCCCATTTCAGTCGATAGTGGAAAGAGAGTTTGTGGAAAGTCGTCATTATAAGATGTTATTACGGTTTTTCTTTAGCAGAAAATAATTTTAGCGAATGGTTTTCATTAAACTACATGTGGTAGGTTTCTTTTTCATCCTCCTTGATTTACATTTTTCACGTGTCTTCTGTCCCTAGCTTGTTTCCTTCAATTTTTCTAATTTCTCAGCCTAAATTTATATACTCATCAATGTATTAGTGAAAAAATGAAGGTGGTTTCTTAAAATTGCCTGATTAAAGCTCTAGACTTTGACAAATGTTTAGTTGTCACGAGGCCTCGTTTGCCTCGTGCACTCTGAACGTTTTGCCCGTTAATAAGAGTCTGGGATTACGACAACAATGTCGAGGATTATGGCACTTTATGACACTTCATAGACATTGTTGGAGTAGTGGGATTATATGTTTGGAATGGACATTGCGCTAATCAGATTTGGTAATAGTTGTCTGCATCTAAACACTCGTGGATCCCATGAATACTCTAATAACGCATAATTCATTGCATGTATTTATATCAATGCATGCATTTTGTCTGTTATCGATCGTATCACTGCATTAGAATGTAATAGACAACCTGTTGACGTTACAGTAGTCTGTGGATCAGGAGAAAATTCGAAAGATGTCAGCTTGCTCTTGATTTTATTCCGAAACTCTGAAGTAGGTTTCACACAGGTATTTGCGGAATGGAGTTCATCGATGTCTGTTCGAGGTATACTAGGTGATTAAGGAAGGTATTTGAAATGTAAACCAATCCTCTATTTTTCCATGATTTCCTACTTTTGGGATTTAGAACTCCTGTTTTTTGTTAGTTGGACACAACGGCTTTCACTGAGTTGATGAATTTCCTGTTTTCTTCTTAGACCATGGTCCCCACTATTCATTTCAAAGTGCAGTTGGTAAATAATGTATACACCGTTTTGTTCAATGAATTTCTATTATATTCCCAATAACTGCATGATCCTTCATTCATAGATCAGAGCTGATCCAAATGTTTTCTGACGGTTTCCAAAAGAGTGATATTCAGTAGATTTAGCTAAACTGTTCTGCATATATCGGAGTAAGTAGTAGTTAAAGTTTTTAGAACTTCATTAATATAGTAACTGTAGTCGAAATCCTTGCCACCTAGAAACGTGGGGCAAATCGCAGAAGATATGAATGATCTATCGTTTTGATTAACCGAAACCTCTCATCGACCCCACACACCGCCATTTGCTTTCTTGTTGTCGTAATGACTTCGAAACAGCTGACTGATTTTAGTATCTCGTCGAATCGTTCGTTGTTCTTAACACTAAATCAAAGCGAAGATTTCTGTGCTATCAGTCTTCGACGGCTGTCCAGAAGCGATGCGCATTGTTGGAAATCGAGGCTTTCCACGTAATCTACCACGTTGTCAATCGTGGTCTTTCCAAATTCCAAACAGTGAAAATCTGTCTGTTTTCGGTCTGGTTTCTTGCCTTTTCGCTTATCAGTAAAAGCGTGGTATTTGAAAACTTGTTTTCTTGAAAATTTGCCCATTGAAATAACAAATATCGCTTGGCGTTTAAACATTTTACGCATGAAGTCAGTAACAATTTCGAACGAATTTGTGACAAAGTGCTGTCAAGCGGTAAAAACAACTGGAACTTTATCACCTATCAAATATTGCTGGCATTTATTGGACAGATTGATACTTGTAAACTGCTGTATTAGGATACAGCAGTTTGCAGTTTTTCTATGCGAAGTACAACTTGTGCTGTCGGACGTATTTTCTTTTGTTCTCTCAACTTTCGCAATCCGTAGAATAGAAAAGGAAGGAAGCTCGTTTGAGTTTTACCATCTTAGATGCGATTAGATGATCCACTAGAGGGGCGATTTTGAAAGAAAAAGAAAATCGTCAGCTGAATTGAGGTTCTTTCCTTGTAAATTTCCGAACAAAAAGTGATGTCTATTATAGCACAGTTCGAATCTTGTAAGTTACGGAGCTTAAATTTTCCAGGTGCAGGTTGGCATGAATGACGCTGTTAACACAATGATTAGAGGTGTACTGTAATACACATATGGTTCTTGGTTCGATCTTGCGCTGTAGATTAGTCAAGGTCCCAGTCGCTAGTTCGAGCCAGAGTTTACTGGGGTAAAAACACTGACTTAGAGCATCGATATGGGCCGACAAGTCAATGTTTAGGCCATATATGCATCCAATCATCTTTACGATGCTACGAATGGTGTCGAATGCATGGCGTCTCTCTAGAGTATTCACAGAAGATGAACGCTATGCAGCTTAACTTTTGTACTTCACCTGAAACAATTGTTGCTTTTTCACTTTTTTAAAATCAGGGTCGATAAAGTTAAGCTTGTCGAATTTAATGCGCTTGAGCAGTCCAATTGACTTTTTTTTCTTTGAAAGAATTTTCCTTTAGGTATAAATGCACTTTTCCAATTGGACTAAATGACACACATGTTTAGTTAGGCTACCATATTTGTTTGAGTGAAATTCAATTGCTCGATTTCATTCTCATTTGGATTGATTGCTGCACCATCCCACATCAAAAATCAGTTCCGAGATACGGGGCTCGATCACGCGTTATCTCAGGGCATTCTTTCCTGCTATTCATTCTCAGATTTTTGAAACTTATCCAAAAAGTCTCCAAAATTTTGCGCATTGGTGTTTTAGTCTCCCGTGCGATGATAGCGACTTTTACATCGAAATCTTCTCCGCTATGTTTTTGTATCGTATGCGTGCCTAGTGGCGTGCCTTGTTTTGATTTTCGTTCGCCATCTAGGTGTTCTTTTATGCGGATACATAAAAGTCTGCCCATTTCGCCGATATATTCGCCTCCGCAAGTACTACAAAAAATCAGGTATATCGTACCTGAACCCATGCAGTAACCGTCTCAGCAGTAGGGGCAAGTTACGCAATTTGGTGTTTCACATAGACGATCATACAGGCGGTTACGAACTAAATGACGACGTAGAGTATACAGTGGTATTTCAGCTATCGTTAATGATTCCTCTAGATCTACTCTTCTTAAGCATCGCTTTATCGCTACACTTATTTCATCGCTAATGAAGGGCAAGATAAACGGGATTTTGTTTCGGTCAAACCCTTCGTTTTGGGGCGTCGCTCTCCTTCTAAGCTTATCTCGTCGAGTTACTATTTCGTAACCATTGGAGATGGCTATTTGCCGAGCCAATTCGCGTGGTTCTCCCTTTAGTTCCCCACTTTTGCACGCAGAGGTGGCTGTTGAAAACATGTTTCTCACAAGCGCCCTCTTTGTGTGTGAAGGGTGGGAAGAAAGGAAATGAACGAGGATTTTCTTGTTACTTGGCTTTCGGTACCGCTTTGTCATGTAACCGCTACTTGATAGGTTCACGTGGACGTTAAAAAATGGAAGCGAGTTCTCGTTCGGTTTCTTCCGAGTGAACTTGATGTACTCAGACCGCTCCTTCAACAACTCAAAGCATTTGTCCATCTCCTCCTGCGTAGGGAAGATGACAAAACAATCATCTATGTGTCTGCAGTAGAATAGTGGCCGGAGACAGAGAACGGAGGCTTCTACTTTAGACATAAAGTCAATGGTAAGGTGCTGTTGGTCTCCACGTGACATAATTAGTGGAGGACTCGTAGAAAGCGATGAGTGTGCAAAGACTCTGTGTTCAACGTGATTGAAATTTTGGTTCGGCATTTTCTCTGTTTGGTTTTGGAGGTGTTTGGCTGTGTAGATTGAAGTCACCTTGACCTTTCCAGGCTCTGAGGGAGGCGAAATCCGCCGAAACGTTAACTTGTGCGTAAATAAAAAAATAGAATATCTCGTGTTTGCTAAACAGAAGTAGAAAGAATTATTCAATCAATGCCGAGGTTAATAGAAAGTCGGACTTGGGATTTTCTACAAGATGTACCAGGAAGATATTTCCAACTTGCAAAAGAAGCACTGTCAGTAAGGCAGAAGATCGTCTTAGCTCGACAGACGATACATTTTCTCCGCCGCTGCATAAAACACCAAGTCGTTCCGAAATTCATGAAAAGAAAACGACTACACGAAGTGTGCGGACTGCCAGAGGATAACCACCGAGTACTGGACATCGAATTGCAAGTACTGCGCACCTGTCTACGAAGCAAACAAAACCAGATGTTCGCTAAGTGGAAGAAGTGCGAGAAGAAGGAAAACTATTGTGCTCAGTATTTGGACGACCGTCTCTGGATGAGAATAGTGGGTGGGTCAGTGTTGATTTGCAATTCCATTAGGTCTAATGCTAAAGCA